GAGTCCTGGTTAGACATAGAACAGACAATTTGCAATACGATAGAGCTTTCAGACTTACCATTTATTAGCTCAAGCGTAAGAAAACATGAAGGCTTCAAAAGTATTAGTATCAGCACTTCTCTGACAGCATGGTGGGAGTATCTTAAAATGACAGAGTCTTCACTAGTACCATGCAGACGCACACCTATCTGGAATAATCCTGATATTTTGCAAAATAATAAAATGATGAACCTTCTGGACTGGAAAAATAAAGGAATCCTATACCTGGAAAACATATATGAAGGATTGGACTTCATCCCATTTAATAGAATAGTCTCCCAATTTGGAATAGAAAAGAATAGCTTTTTAGAATACCACCAAATCAAATCTGTAGTCAAACAAAAATTTAAGCTCAATAAAATAGAATTACAAACCCCGCCAAGGGTTTTAGACTTCTGCAATCTCAAACCCCCTAAACTACTGTCTAAAGTATATAAGACACTGTCCAAAATAGACGATAGAATAGCAATCCCTATTGAAAAATGGGAGGTGGATCTATCAGTCAGCTTTGACCAGAACTTCTGGTCCCAAACTTGTTTAAAAACTTTTAAAATGATCAGACACCCCAATTTACAATTAATTCAGTACAAAGTTCTACACAGAGTACACTATACAGGTCATCGGATGTTCAAGATGGGGTTTGTGTCGTCTGACATCTGTACACACTGCACAAACAACATTCCTGACAATTACGTTCATGCACTGTGGTCCTGTCCACCTGTCCAGGAATTTTGGGGTAGAGTATGTGAAGACCTGTCAAAGTCTCTGAAATGTCATATCCCAATCACCCCCTCTCTTTGTTTACTGGGAAACCTGGATGATGTCCCGATTGAAAAATCTTTGGTTCATGTGGTTCTGACTGCCATATGCATCGCTAAGAAAACTATCCTCTTGAATTGGAAAAATAGAGAAAATCTCTGCATTAACCAGTATAGAAATCTTTTGTTAGATCATATTGCACTTGATTTAGCCTCTGCTTCCACTTCAAATAAATCTCTCTGGGCTCCTTTGATCGGTTCCATCACATAGCGGTGATGGGGGGCCGTTGATGATGTCCTGCGGGATGATGTGGGTGGGGGGGTGGAGGGTCTGAGTTTGGAGTATCTGGATGTTCCCTGGGGATGGGTTCACTGGGGATGTCTGGCACTGGGGGGCTGTCCCCCCCCTCTGGAGGTGCTTGGGTTGCCTCGGGGGGTGTACTGCTGGCGGTTGTGAGTGGGGCCCCTTGGAGGTCTTGGCGGCGGCCATGGGTTACTGCCTGGCGGCTGCATTGCCCCTGGGTGGGTCTGGGTGGGGGCCTGGGGGCTCGGGGTGTTGGGGTGGCCGGCCCCGTGTGGGGATCTGGGCTGGGCCTTGGGGGTCGGGTCCCTACATGTACGCTGCCGGGAAGAAGGCAGGAATACGCAGAAGTACCTGGCCCGGGTTCGGGGGCGTAGGGCAGGCCCTGGCTCCTCTGTTGTCCCATCACAGGGGAGGGGGAGGTCCAGGAGGGGGAGGACCCAACCTTACCTGGATGTCTTATGTCTTATATATTCTGGAAGTTGTGCAAATGCAGGGATGGGCATAGATATTCTGCTGGGGTGGGGCTGGGTCGGCTCCCTCGGGCTCTGTGGGGCTCTGTGATGCTGCTGCTTTGGGCCCTGGCAGGATGGGCTGGGGTCTCCATGCCCTGGGCGGCGGTATGACAACGGAGGTGCCTATTGGGGTCAGTGGGGGAGCTGGCTCCCTGGAGGGCTAAGCCCTACCAGCCATTCCTCCCCATCCCCGTTTATTTCTCTCCTCCTGCTCCCTCACATCATCACACAAACATGCACATAGGACCTTGGGGGGTGGACAAGTCGAGGAGTGCGGGTATGGACCCCATTTCCGCATTCCTGTGGCTTCCTGCCCCCCAATTTTATTTGCACCTTATGCACTTCCACCGACGACATTCCACGCAAACATACACTTAGGGCCTTGGGAGTGAGCACATTCAACGGCACTTGGCAGGGGGAGTTCTCAGCCTCCTCCCGAGTGCCGGTGCCCACTTCGAATTTTAAACTGCATTTAGACACCAAGGGCTGTGGGTGCAAGTAGGGTGGTGCAGTGGCATCAGCTGGCATAGGCCAGAAAATGCCCGCACTGCCCGCTCACCACAGCAATAGAATACACCTCATTAACACACAACACTATGTTGGAGCAGGTGGAGGGAGACCAGGGGGTCTTAGCACACCTCTGTTGTTGCTTGGCTGCCTGGGGCTGGAGACTAGGAGGGAGATCTGGCCGTCTGGTTGGGGTCTGGGGTGGTGGGTTGCTGTGCTCGGCGGTGGGCGGGGGAGCCTGCTCATCAGCACCCCAGCAGAAAGGGTCAAACTCTGGTAACCGGTGGTGGTTGTACCCCATGTGCAGCATTACCGGGACCAGAGTGAATAGGGTGTGTATGGGGAGCATGAATGGGTGTCCGGCGTGTATTTTTGTAAGTCTTTGGTTGTATGTGCATGTGTGAGCATGAGGGAGGGAGTGTGTGACTGTGTTTGTGTATGACTGTATATGTCAGGTGGGGCCTTTGACTCCTCCCTTCTCCTGGGACCTCCTTTGATGATATAGATCTTCGTCTCCCCTCCCCCCTGTCACACCTGGTGGGGGTGTGATGCCTTGGTCTGCCTGAGTGTTCATGGCTCCCGGGTCAGGGAGTTTAAGATTTTTGGCATCTGCCTGATCAATCCCGGTGGCGGCCTGGGGGGGTCTGGGTCCCTGGGCTCTGCTGGGTCCCCGGCGGGGGTGGTCGCCCCTGGGTTCCGGGTCGCTGGGTCCCGGACTCGGCCGGCTAGGGGGTGGGAGGCTGCGGGCAGGCCTGAGGACTTGCCGCTGATATCTCCCGGGGCTCTGCCGGCTGCTGGTTGTGGCCCCCCGGGGCGATCCTCTGTGCCTCTCGAGGGGGGCGGGGGCCTTTCTGGTTGCGGGCTCCTTGGGGTTCCTGTGTTCTGGGGCAGCGCCTGGATCTCTGGGACTTGGAGCTCCCCCCCGTCTCCTACGCGTCTTTGGGGGGCAGATCTGTGGTCCCTCACACTCTCTATTGGACGCTCCTATAGATAAACCTTACATAAACAAGCGCGTGTACACACACAGGTGCTCACATGGTGCTCTCATAAGTATGGGCTTGGGCACGTTCAACACATGTCTTAAGACTATGGTGGGCACTCAATGCACTGTGGTATATTATCGTGTGACTGTTTAGTTAAACAATGATTGATTATATATTTCTTCATCAAGTTGACGCAGTGATAGCTTGATTTTGTTATATTGGTGTTGTGTCCCATTTTTTTGTTATGTTTTGCTTTTTTCTCGTCTCATTTTGCAGGTCTAGAAGCAGACTCTTGTTCATTATTGTTTATTTTTGTTGAATCCCCCCCCCCCACCTAACCCCCTCTCTCCCCACCTTTTCTCTTTTCCTTTCTCTTTCACCTCTGTCTCCGTGTCTGGTCGAAATTACAAAGCATTCAAAAACAATAACAATAAAGTTTTAAATATCAGGTGCGACATTAAAAGCAGACTCTTTGATGCTCCACCTGAGACATTAAAAGCAGATGCTCTGATGCTCCACCTGAGAGTAAAACTGTAAGGCTTGTTACCAGCATTCAGACATCAATTCTGCTTGCTTCACAGCCAGACAGGACACGTTAAAAAAAAAAAAAAAAAAAAAAAAAAAAAAAAAAAAAAAAGTCCTCTATAGAAATTAAACTTCGTTCCTCTTAAGCCACCATTAACCCTTTAGAACCCAAACCCTTTTGAAATAGAAAACAGATTAGAATAAATACATAAAAAAATAAATAAATAATTTAATCAAATGAAGAAGTAAACTAATTTTCAATAAATGTATGGAAAGAAAGTCAGTTGGAGGTTTCAAATTTTAATACGACTCAAGAATAAATTTGCAGATGTTTGAAATGGAATGTGATGTGAGGGTCTCCATGGGTCCTTAAGGGTAAAAATACAAATTTAACCTTCAGAAACGGAGACTTCTTGGATTTTTGTACCTAAGGTGTACACGAAGGGGGCGCGGCCTAAAACTCATGCTGCAGCCAACCACTAGGAGGCACTCGTTCTATATCAGCTTCGACTCCTGTGGTATATTTATGTCGATGTGCTACATTCATGTATTAACACATATTTCGAGAATACATGTTGTACTGTCGTGTACTATGGAAAGCCAGAAAGGATAAATTAACAGCTTTTTGTGTTTCTGCTTGCTCTGATTGGAAGGGGAATCTCCTAATAAGACATAATTTTCTTTTAAATCAGCCACACATTCATCCTTTACACTTGTATTTAAAGTGTCAAGAAAATAATTTACATGCCTTAATGCTCAACAAAGTGTATTTTCATGAACATACGTTCATTTTTTAATTGTTCACTCTGAATCACTCCATTTTAGGCAGCAGATTCAATCCAAAAGAACCCGTTGAAAACATGGAACTTCTTAATAAACTCCTGAAATGGAGAAACTTCTAATTGTTTAATGAGTCCAGTGTAGGTAAAAGTCTAAATAACTGCTGGGTGGATTTTTACAAACATTTATAAACTCATTTTGTGGATTTGGCAGATTGTGTTAACTAAATCGAGAAAAAAATGTACGATTAAATTTCTGAATGATAGACGGGTGCTGCAGATGTGCAAAAAGAGCTTTTTGTTTTAGAAAATAAGATGAAAAAGAGAGAATACATTCATGCATGTTAAAGGGCTTTTTCTGAGTGCACGCACATTTATATGTTACAGTACATCATCCACAAACGTATGATTTCATCCTTCCTTTTGCTCACAGTCACTGTGCTTCATTTTATGGCACAACTCCTATTGTAATATTGAGTATTCAGGATAATGAAGAATACTTCTTTGTGTTTGAATATAAATTAAGAGTTCAGGAACCCCAATCCCAAGTTCTGGGATTTCTTCCAGTGTTTTTCTGACAGGACGGTCAGTACCTGGAGTCCTTTGTCCTTCACAACCAACGGCCCAGTTGAGTCTGTGGATCCGTCACAGTTGACGGTTGTGTGGCAGAACACTGTCGAGAGGTAGCGACAAAGCGCAGTGTGCCGTTGTCTTTACAGCCTGTTTACCGAAGCGGCAGTTCAGCAGAGAGCCCAGGTGACGAAACACAGACTTGCGGAAGAGGATGAAAATCCAGGGATCCACGATGGGGTTCAGGGAGTAAAAGCGGAAAGCTATCAGGTTCTCGTCGTCGCCACGATATGGATGAATGGCGTTGATAAAGCCTGCAATCTGAAGAGAAGAAGGTGTGATGAGATACTGTTCAAAACAATTAATGCATAAATCACCTAAATGCAAAAGTTTCATATTTTTAAGTACTTTTCTTGAGCCAGTATGTGCCAAAATGACTCTTTACAGCAGGGAGATTCGGCCTGGAGGGCCAGTATCCAGCACATTTTAGTTTTAAATTTGTTTCAACACACCTGACTTCAATCAGCAGGTGATTAGCAGACTTCTGCAAAAGCCTAATGAGCTGCTGCACTGGTGATTCATCGACTGAATCAAGTGTGTTGGAACAGAGAAACCACTAAAAACGTGCTAAGAACCAGCTATATAGGCCCAAATTCGAATACCCCTGCTTTACAGGGTTAATGAAATGTCACTCAGTCCAATCGTCCTCTGTGGCAAGAACACCGCACTTGCAACATCAGAGTGCCGGTCCTGTCCCTGTTGGACTTTGTAAAGTGGAGTTAACATGCCTGGAGCGTGAGTCTGCTTCCAGCATGTTTCCTGCATGTTTTAGATTGTGAACACAGCTGATTTGTTTGATTTAGTGATGAATCACTCCTTTAGACACTAATGAAGGCTGGGGAGACGTTTCAGCTGCTGGATGAAGGCGTTAAAATGAATGCACAGCGAGGAGATGGGTTTCACTTTTAGGTTTCACTTTTGGTTTTACTAAACGAACACCAGGCGGTGCTAAAAGCAAGCCTAAACTGCTTGGTATCCCTTTAAAACTTACTCTTCCATAAAGAATGTCGCCAACTCTGCATCAGCGTAGTTACGTCCGCAAATGTGTGCACATACAGATGACAGATTTCGTTTGCTTTTGACTAGTGCTCAGTGGAACTCAATTCAAATTGTGTGTGGTTCTATGAGACAGGGGCAGGTTTAGCAAAAAATAAAAATAAATAAAATAAAAAAACACCATTACAGTTCAGGGTCTGACTATCACCATTACAGATATCTAAAAAAAATCCTACATAATTCCCGAAAGGGGGAAAATTCCAAATCGCTGCATCAAGATGAGAATCCTTCAGTCTAGATATTTCTGAGATACTCTCTGAAGGTAAGATTAAATATATTTTAGAAACTTTAGAATTAAAAATGTGTTGTTTTAATTTTAGAGCGGATTCTTTAGGCTATAGGGGTCATGAATGCTTGTCCTGGAGGGATTCTCCTATACAATGTCAGGAATGCAGAACTGTCAAGTACACAGGTAGCAGGAACGGTCTATCACGCGTTAGCAAGTATCAGCAGAGCCAAAGGTTGAGCTTATGAAAGGTTCTAATGGGAAACAGGCTCCAACACAAGTGATTGTTTTCCGCTTTGTTCTAGTGCTCAACCAGCATTTATAATATAGTGTAATATTGTTTTTGTACAGTAAAAAGTGCAGGGGACAAAAAGTGACTTTGGAAAAAGTGTGTGTGTGTGTGTGTGTGGGGGGGGGGGGGGCATAAACTACATCCATGGTTGGGATCCAGGATGTCTTAGTTGTTTTCCCTCTTCAATACACCTGATTTTGACCTGCAGAGCCTGATGAGCTGCTGAACAGGTGATTTAACCACTGAAACATGTGTGTTGGTGCACAGGAAAAAACAAAATAAGCTGGATACCGGCTCTGCTGCTCGAGACAGTCTCCGGAGTTTCGTTTGTCAGAAAATCTCCATTATTCAATCTGAGGTGGAACGAGTAATAGAGACAGGAAGACCCAGCTGGTTTTAAATTAATATCAAACAGGAGATCCATGAATTGAGATGTTTTCAAGCAACAAAAATGCTTGTCTTCAGACACTGGAAAAATATATTTATGATGTAATATATGAAATAATACATTATAGTTCATAGAACTGATCCTACATGCAAGGACACCTTCGTCAGAATCAGAGAGGTGCAGCAGTAAAAATGATCAGACAAGTTTTATTCGCCCATCACATTTAGAAAAAATAATCCTATCTGCTTCTGTTTATGCAGTCAAAAACACAACAACCCTTTCTGCTTTTCAGCTGGTCTGTTCGTGGGCATCCAGCCTTTGCAACTCGTTTGTTTGTTGTGTCTCTAAATCGTTTTCCCTTTTTGTTTAGACAAAGCATTTATTATTTTTGACATTTCTGTTAAATAAATTGTAAAATATTCCAATTTTAATTAGACAATCTGTTCTGGCTGGGGCTGAGTTAAGCTGATTCTGGCTCCTGTAGATGCAAGAGCAGTGCAAACCTCTGTTAGACTGTGCTGACGACGCCGTGCATGCTCAACATCAGTGTCAGCTGGGACTCAGCTTCACCTGGTTTACATTGACCACATCAGTAAAAATATGCATCTGCAACACGTACCGCAAAATGTCCTGAATTCAGACCAGCAAACGTTTGCCTGAGCAAATAAATGTGTTGTTTTTTCTTGCATTGACCTTTAAAGTAGAGCAGTCTGCAGACAGTTGGCTGGGCAGAGAGAGAGCAGCAGCTGGCTCAGGAAGCTCGTCGCCTCTTCTCTATCAACAATTCTCCATTTTCTTTATGAAATATCCAACAAACAGTAGCCTAATTAATGGCTTGTGGTGACTGAGTGGCTTTGTCCATTGGTGTAAATGTTTTGTTGTTGCTAAGGTCTTCACTGAAATCTAATAAGGTACGAGGGGCCAAAGGGAACACGTACGGAGCTGGGACAAATGAAAGTACCGGAGGGACAAGACACAGGCCTGATTACATCCACTTCCAATCTCACACGCAGTCGATCGTTCAGCCATTGATCCACGGATGCACCGAATAAAAGCCAGTGAGGAAAAGTCTTATGATAAATGGGTGTTTAACAACAGAAACAACGTGATTTCATTCCAGCTGGGAGATGAAACTCTGAAACAGTCACCGGTTACACCAGGAGGTTAACTCAGTTTGGATAGATCTGAGTAAAGATTGTACTTCAGGTGGGAAACAGTCCAGCTCGGAATATTTCATTTAGGAGCTGATCCAGAACTGGATCTGGATCAAGAATGTGTCCTTGTCCAGCCTTGGCTGGGATCTCAAACATGAGTCAGGAACAAACGTCCAGATGTTTCTGACTTTTTAGGAACTAATCATGTTTTCTACACATTTTTCAATTGCAAAACTCTGATTGTGTAACTTGGACATTTATTTAATAAATAAAAGCTAAAACATCTCTTAGTACTATAAAGCTGTAATACTCAAATCTGCTCAAAAATAATGGCAAATACTTATAGCACCAAAGATCTCTGGTTGACCTGTATGAAAATTGTTAAAGTAAATAATGAAAATACGTATATAATAAAGAAACAGAGTGCTTTGTCTACTTGTATGCTACAAAAGTTATATATTTGTGACTATTATTATTAGTTTTTGCATCAGCTAAGGTCAGACATAAAACAATCAACTTTAAGTATTTAAATTTAATTTACTGTATTCGTTCAATGTTTACTGATAATTTTTCTTTGTTTGAAATGATCTTAATTTGTATTTAATCAAACAGGAACAAAGACAATAACAGCCAGGTAACATTAGCTAAGTAGATGTGTAAGCTGGCCGTGTGATACAGTATATTAACCGTTACAAATATTCTTCATTTGTGACTTTTTAAAATTGATTTGTAGATTTAAAATAGAATATGTAAAAAAAAAACTAAATACAAGACAATTAAATATATTAAAATGAATGTTTTAATTTGTTTTCCGAGGTAAAGGAATATAACTCCAACTAGTTAGCATTAAATAGCATCATTAACAGAAGTTGACAAGAAGATCAAATAAAATTATTATTAATTACAGTCTGGAATGCTGGCCTTATATAAATGAACCACCAATGGAGTTCACTGCTTCTGGAGATAAAATGTGGTGAAAATATTTGATCAATGTTACTGATGTTTAGCATCCAGGCTAATGATTACTTATTAAATCAGTGCTGGTTTCTGTCCTGCGCTGCTTTCAACAACTGGCCCAGGAAATTTACTAGAAAACTTTGCATATAACTTATAATCCAAGGTCAACCTGAAAATGAGAGAAAACTAACTACTTGAGAAGAAAGGGTGGATACTTATGGAGCTCTTATGGGATTATGGAGTAAGACGAGTTATCATCAAAAACACGAGCTGTGGGAGAAAGGAAAGGGCTGAACTTATTTCACCCCTAAAATCAGCTGTAGAGAAGAAACATTCCCAAAGATACTCTGGGACTTAAATCCTGCTCTAATTTGCCACATGGCCCCAGAAACAAAATTCAGTTAGTGAAACAGTTCAATGATTTATCTTTTCTTAAAAGTAAACGCTCTAAAAAATAAAGATGATCCATTCCCTCGCTTGGCTTTGGCTCAACAATGAGCTACCAGCAACAATTTGTTCCTTCAACACAAAGTTATGATCCCCTTAATTCATCGCGCAGCATTGCCAGAAACCTTTCCAACAGACATATAAAGTCAGGCGCTGTGCCATGATCATCTCCATTACCGTCTCACTGCACAGCACCACCCTCAACATGCACAGATGCTCCCACATGCCACCCTGCCTCTTATGGTGCTGTCAGCTGAACCGGAGTCCTGCAGAAAGGGAAACAAATCACGAGCCACTCTCTCCAAGCACTCCAGACTGTGGGGCCAAAATTGATGATGTGTTGGGTTCTCCTTAAACAGGAGCATAATAATATATCAGTGTATAGTTATGGAGCAGACACAGTAAGATTGTAGCGAGGAGAACTGGGTTGTGGAGGTGAAGAAAACTTTAAGGCTTCAAAGTTGCATTGCCTCTAAAGGTTGTACATGTAAACAAGTAAATTTACCAGCTTTGTGTCAATTTTCAGCTTTATAAAATCTCACCAAAGTAACATTGATTGCTTCATGCTGGCAAGGGCACCCCCAAGGGGTGGCCACGGCCACCCCTACATAATTTCTGCCCCCCCCTCACAGGTGTTAACAAATCATATTACTGTTCAGTTAAACCATATATTGATCATGTTTATTCAAGACGTAATTGTAAAACAAAATGAACATATTACAATTAATGAGTAAAGAAATA